AATATATTATCAATTTTTGTTTAAATATTTTCATTTAAATATTTAGAATTCCACTTGTTAAAAATATAAAACAAGGACAATTTGGTAAAATAAACATTCTAGTAATTTTTATTCCTTCAACCAAACACTATAATCTTACATTCCTGCCAAACAAACTAAATACAGTAATGTAACATTCCCAGTAATCCTATTCTCTGGTAATCTTTTATTCCCAGTAATAATCTTATATTCCGTTAATCAAACGCATCATTAGGGTAAATACGTAACGTGGTTGCCGACGGAAAGTATTGTCAACGGAAATTGACTGGCAAGTGAAACGGTGCCGCATTTAGTATCTATTTATTTTAAGGCTCTCAAGTCTCAACGCGGTTCTTTTTTAACCGCGTTACATCAAGGCATAATCTGTTCCGGACTCGATTAACATGGAGACCTTCCTTGATGTTGCAGGCAACACAACTTAAGCATTATAAATGATCTTACATCTTCCACCATAGCTTGCAATGGCAGTTCATAACTTGAATCTCTTCAAACTCATGAGCCAGGCCAAAATGGAAGTTGTGGTATCCTCCATGGCAATAATTACAGTTCGTTTCATTTGGTTGCTCACTATTCCGTTTTCCAGGGGAATCCTAAATGGAACAGCTTCCCGGTGACCTACGGTTTCCTGTCTACTTCTTCCTTGCCGATGGGTTTGGATCCACAAGCCGCCATTGACAGAGCATTCAAAACATGGGAAAATGCTGTTCCTAAATTTGCCTTCAAAAAGATAAACCCTGGCGATGGAGCAAATATTAAAATTATTTTCACTAAACTTGCTAGCGTCTATTATGGTATAGGTCATGCAGCACCAGATGGGGGGGGCTTGAGCTTGATAATAATCACACCAACTGGAGCATCAGTTCTAATCCAGGACCAAAACAACTGGACCTGCAATCTGGAGCCATGCATGAACTAGGGCAGACTTCCGGCCTCGATCATAGTACAGATTGAAATGCAATAATGTATCCCGTACTTGCTCTTGGAAGTCTTAAAAGTAATCTAAGCCAAGACGCCATTGACGGCATACAGACTTTATATGTCTAGCTTCAGTGAAACTTGCACTGTTTTTCATGACATTACTGGCTTCCGGACTTTATTATGGAGGTCATGTCTCGCATACTTGATTATGGAAGTATCAGAAGGAAACTCGGCCAATATGACATTACTGGCTTCCAGACTTTATATAGCTAGGCCTTGTTTCATTGAAAACTATGCAGATTTCATGACCTCGAAAGCTTAGTTATATCGATTAACACAGTTCGAAAGATAAAAATATTGATAATACTATTACACGTTAATAATATTTTCTTATATTCCAAAATATTCTTTCATGATTTTTTCCACCCATAACGTGGTTGAACAAAATTTTAATAATATTAGTGAAAACAAGTTTGTCTAGTCAATAGTTGATGGTTCATCCTTTTTATTTGAGCAGAAAGCAACAGTTAGTAAGATAATGCATGTTTTTCTTTGTGAGAGTCTGAGAGATAAAAGATGAGAGGGGCATAAAAGTAAAGGAAAAGAAAGTAGAGATTCCTCTCTAGTTTTGATTAAATATTATAGTAACTCTAACTAGTAATGTAAGACATACTATCCTTATAACTACTCGTAGGTTAGTATTCTAAATAGATTTAATCGTTAGATTTGAATTTCATTTTACTAATCATGTGAGACTGTTGGAGATATTGCCTATGTACTATGATTAGCTCAGGAACGATATTCATGTACTTAGAAAGATATAATTCTTTGAAAACTTTAAAACAAAAGAGTCTCGCCAAAGACACAACTTTTAAAGATGAATTCCGGAAATATAACAAATAACGAAAACATGTTTTTGTGCTGCCTTGAAAATGAAGTATTACTTTTAGGCATTGGCTGGTTACAATAAATTTCTATCACGTTTAATAGAATTATCTTTAAGTATGTGAGGCCCCAGTGAAAATTTATGGATAAAAGGACCCAAATTTGGTTTGATGCTTAGGGGCGAATCTAGAAAACAATATTAAAGGGTTCGAAATTAATTATATTTTTAAAAAAAAATAAAAAAAATAATTTTATTATATATAGTTTTTAAATTTATAGTTTTTAAAATATAATCTGCTTAATTATTCATTCAAAGCATCCTTCTTCCACCGTGTTATGATTATTACCAACTTAAAATTCTTCTGCTTTGAACAACCCATAGTTCTGGTTCCTGTGTATTTCATGTCGGTAATGAGACTCGGTCTTAGAATATGACAGTTTGTGTAGAAAGTTAAATACAAAGATCTGTTCATATTTATCGATTAAAATGAGTACAACATAGTTCAAATGTACAAACTTAAATGATGTCACTTGAGCCAGGAATGCAAGGGGATTCGAATTATTTCCAGTTGAAAGTCATGTTGCTTGAACTCTTCATTTCTCTTGAAGTATTCGTGCTCCATGTTCACGTTTAACACATGAATATAGAACCTCCAATGATCTTCCGGGTCCGAATAACATATGTTGAAAGAATCCACCATGAAAAGCGCAGTGAAGGCTGAAAAGCGCAGTGAAGGCTGAACATATTATTATCACATCTCTACTTCATTTTCTTTCCTATGCCTGGTCTCGGACGCCAAGCTTTCCACCATTCATTTCCAATCAAGCACGTCTAATAGCCACAGGACCTCTTCTCTAGAATTGGCAGCATCACAAAAGTCCAGCTCAATGCCAAAAACATCCATGACACCGTCGTTTCCGTCTTCTGTGAAAAGCAAGGAGATCCATGCCCGGATCCCGAAATAAAGGGATAATTGGGAGAGAAGACAAGGTAGTCGAAAGCTAGGGCCCTGAGCTGTACATCTATGTAATCAAACAGTGATTTATTAATTTATACAAGCAACTTTATTCGAATCCTTCCGCCCCACAAGCACTGAAACACTCACAGTCTGGCTCCAAGAACGGTGAACCTTGGTCAACAGGTAAGGTCATCTTGTACTCGGGACCCTCAGATGAAACTTGAGCATGTCACAAATCCAGTCGGCAGGACATTGATTCCTCTCTGGAGGACAGGACCAGGGATAACATCAGAGAAAATCAATTTATCTTCACTCCAAACGTCAATGAAGAATTCCAAGTCATCGAAGGAAAGTCTTGGAGGGAGGAGTGTTCGCTGATGCTGCCGTTTATAGAACGTTTGATACATTTTATAGTAGGTTATAGTAGGAGGATTGGGCCGTTTGCAAATTGAAGGCCATCTCTTTGCACATACACATTTCCAAAAGTAATCATCTTTAGCTATGCGTTTCCAATTCTTACAAACCACCATACAAGCTGCAAGGTCTACGCCATCTAAAAAGGGAAAAACAACCTTCAAAACTTCTTCTAATGACATTTTCGGGTTGCAAAATGACCATCAGAAGCCGAATGATGATAATTTGCTCCAGAAAATCGGAAAAGGTGTAAAAGAACTACAAGCTGAGTAGCTGAGGGCTTCCTGTGAAAGCAATAAAATTAAGTTTTAAATGTCAAAGCATCAATAGATCGATATTAAGCTCAGAACATGAATGTTGCACATACTTTTGTGCAGCAAGATGTCCGTATTATGGAGCCTGAAACATCAAACGTTGCATTCAACAGAAAAGATAATATATAGGGTATTGCAACCGTGTTCAAAACTAAAACATTCTTTTCAGGAAACAAGGTCTGTCCTAAACAAGTCTGTGAAAGGATAAGAAAGACAAATTCTCTTCCTGACCGGCGTATTGTACTTGAAAACAACCCGACCGGGTCAATAACCTCTAAATGCAAATGGAATTTGTACAATGTCAACTTCATAGACACCGAAGCATAGATCTATCATCTTAAACCCAACTCAATTACCTTTACCACAGGCCAGATACACATCATACACGAATGCAAAGTGCAAAACTAACACTTCAATGACATTGTTAAATAGCCAATTTGGGATTGAGCACGATTATTCTACGCCGTATAATTCCTTTCTAGCTCAACAATTCACATTAGTAACCCTCAAAAACTCAGATAATTCTGAACTTAAATTTTCCAGCATAACCCAAGTTTACTTCAAACATCTAAAACAAAAAACCAAATTCAAATTCCACCCATATTCATCAATATAACCCTAGAAATAGTACCAAGAGGGAAAAAATCATAACTTTGACTAAATCATAAAAAAGAAAAAACAGACCCAGAAACAAAAACAAACCCTACTATTATATGATATGTAAAAGAAATCCAAACTTTCTAATTCATAGACGAAAATTTCACCAAAAATGAACGAAAATGGAGAGAAAAAAAGGTAATGAACCAACCGCAGATCGAGAAGAAAAAGGCAACGAAGCTAGGAGGAGATTCGCAGCTAATTAACTAGTAAGAGTTATTATTTACCTGATTTCTTGGTGTAATTTGGAGAGAATTTTCAGGAGATGTGATTTCTGGTCTTATTGTTTCTATTACTATTAAGGCGTTGAAAAATAGACATGTAAACCCCGAAGGTTTGAGAAAAAGAAGCAACGGAAAGACCGAACAAATAATTTAAGGGAGAGAGGCTGCGGGTTAGAAAAAGCTGATTAAAGAGACAAAGCCTCCACTAAAATGTAACCCTTTTTTATAATGTGTCATATCTTCGAAATTAACGATTTAATGATTAAAATATAACAATTAATTACATAACTGATCAAAATTTAATAAATTATTAATATAAGTGATTAATATATATATATATATATATTTAAATTTTAATAGATTTTTTTGTGTAAGTATAAGAAGAAAGTGATCAAATTTTACAATTAATCCTTCGTTTTCCAATTATTTGATTTCATGGTTAGATCTGTAATTATTTGTGTACTTAATAATTTTTCATTACACAATTTAAGTTATAATCAGAAATAATTACGATAGCATTGGAGAAATGAATAATGACCACACATTGCTCTTATAAATCAGATTGCGAGTTCTGAATTCTACACACAGAAAGAAAACACGAGGAAATGGGGATACCGCATGTTTTGGCTATTCCATTTCCAGCACAAGACCATGTCATTCCTCTCATGAATCTCTCCCAAAACTTAGCCAAACAAGCCCTCAAAATCACTTTTGTCAACAAAGAGTTTAATCACAAGAGAGTCATCGATGCATTCGGCGAGAATGTCGCCGGAAACAGCTTACTTCAGCTAGTTTCTGTTCCCGATGGATTGGAAGATGGCGAAGGCAGGAAGCAAGTAGGGAAATTAACTGAACAAATAATCCAGGTTATGCCTGGACACCTGAAGGAGTTGATTCATAAGATTAATGCGTCGAATGAAGATAGGATTACTTGTGTTTTAGCTGATTTAAGCGTCGGGTTTGCGGTCGATGTTGCGGTGGAGTTGGGGATTCCGACGGCTGGATTTTGGTCGGCTTCGATTTTTCAACTAGTGATGTTTCTTAGTATCCCAAAGCATATTGAGGATGGATGGATGGATTGATGAAAATGGTAAGACCCTATCTTTATTTTAACTGGTTAGTAGGACTTCGATGTTGCGAATGGAGAAAATACAAATTGAAAAATGGTTTGTAGTACTTTTTTTCTCGTTTTAGATGCTGATGATCTGATTGGATTTCGGAATAATCGAGAGTTGTAGGACACAATATTTTATTTTATAGGTAAATTTATGAAATTTTAATGGGTAAACGTATAAAATATTATGAGACTAAAATATATTATTAATAAAAAGATAAAAAAAATCTAAATTATATGAGAATTTGATATTTTCAGAGATTATCGTTCCGGTCAGTCCTCTCGATTCATTCTTGACACTGTGATTCATTATTTGAATGTGTTTTGCAGGCACTCCACTTATAAAAGATAAGGTGTTCCAGTTGTCACCTATGACGCCTGCTATACACCCAACCAACTTTGTATGGTATAACATTGAAAGCTCTCCTTCAACACAGAAAATCATTTTCCATACTTTACGGGGGGAAAACAAAGCTGTTGAATCAGTAGATTGGGTACTCTGCAACTCAAGTTTGGAATTGGAGCCTGAAGGGTTCAACTTGGTTCCCCAAATCCTACCCATCGGCCCGCTTTCAGCCATCAATCGGCTCGGGAACTTGTCAGGGAATTTCTGGCCTGAGGATCCAACTTGTTTACAATGGCTCGATCAACAACCACCTGCCTCAGTCATATATGTTGCATTCGGTAGTTTCACAATTTTTGACGAAATCCAGTTCCAAGAGTTGGCTTTGGGGCTTGAACTGGCCAACAGGCCATTTCTTTGGACCGTCCGAGAAGATATTACAAAGGGGAAACACCATGTTTACCCACAGGGGTTTATCGAAAGAGTGGGAAATCGAGGTAAGATGGTGAGTTGGGCACCACAAGGAGCAGTATTGGAACATTCATCGATTGCTTGCTTTATAAGTCACTGCGGGTGGAATTCCACCATTGAAGGTGTAAGCAATGGGGTTCCCTTCTTGTGCTGGCCTTACTTTGCAGACCAGTTCCTGAACGAGAGCTACATTTGCGATATCTGGAAGGTCGGGCTGAAATTCGAAAGGGATGAAAGAGATATCATCGGAAAAGAAGAGATTAAAAGCAAGGTGGAACAATTGATAGGCGATGATAATATCAGAACAAGAATTGTTGAACTGAAGCAAAGGGTTGCCAAAAGTGTCGCTGAAAGTGGAAGTTCTGGTCAGGTATTCAAAGATTTTGTTCAGTGGTTGAAATCATAGATAGCAACAAATGTTTCAGACATTGAGAAATCGAAACAAGTGAAGAAAACGATCATGGTTGACAATTTCACTTTCAGACACTCTATTTTAAATTGTTAATTAAATGTAATTTCACTCATTAATTGGTCTACAACTCAGATTTTATTTAATCATCCTTTCATTTATATCATTATTTAAATTCCTGTTTTCAACGATTAACCAGCTAGGAGGAGATTCGCAGCAAATTAACTAGTAAGAGTTATTATTTACCTGATTTATTGGTGGAATTTGGAGAGAATTTTCAGGAGATGTGATTTCTGGTCTTATTGTTTCTATTACTTTTAAGGCGTTGAAAAATAGACATGAAAACCCCGAAGGTTTGAGAAAAAGAAGCAACGGAAAGACCGAACAAATAATTTAAGGGAGAGAGGCTGCGGGTTAGAAAAAGCTGATTAAAGAGACAAAGCCTCCACCAAAAACAATACTTTGCTTATGGAATAGCATTAATCAAAGGGTAAACTATTGGATTGATGAGTTAACTTTAATATTTCTATAATTTTGTGAATCAAATTCAAAAATAAAAGTTTTTATATTATCAATGTATTAAATTTTAATCACTTACGTTGTCGGCTGTTATATTTTTAACACCGATATATTACCTCATGTTAGTTTGATGACATGGTCTTTTAGTTAAAAATAGATTAATTTATAATATGATCCCTAAATTTTAGATAAAATATTAAGTTGACCTTAAACATTAGATGAAATATCATTTTGACCTCTAAACTTTAGATAAAATGACAATTTGACATTTGAATTCAACAAAAGTCTCGTATTGTAGACCACCACTCACAATCATAATTGTCGATTGGAATCGATTGTCATCATCGTCTGTTAGACTCCAAAAATTTCCAATTCACTCCTTTTGGATCTCTTAAACGCAAATTCAATGTCCGTTTCATTAGAAAATATCTCGAACTCAATAAATCTAACATAGAAACCTTTAACTTCTTTTAAAATTAAATAATAATAATAAATTTATCAATAATATTTTAAAAAAATAAAGACACTAAAATCTGAAATTTTTCTTGAAAGGAAACATAATACTACATTAAATCGAAATGGATTTGGACAAAACAAGAAATATATCTATAACAAAAGATTATAATATAATAATATTATGAAAGAATTTATGGATTTGATTATAGATAAATTTACAAGTTTGATTATCATTAATTTTAAAGACATAATAATGATAAATTTATTTTTATAGTTTAATTTAAAAAGAAGTTGAAGGTTCTTACCTATATTTATTTAGCTCAAAGTATTTTTTTCGGTGAAACAAATACTAAATTCACTTCGAGGAAGTCAAAAGGAGTGAACTATAAATTTTTAGAGTCCAACAATCATCGGTGATAGTGGTTGATGGTGATCGACGCTAATCAGAGGCGACAATGATGAATGATGATCGATTATGAGAGATTTTTATCGATTTTTTGATATTATATCTAAAGTTTATGACCAAAATGATATTTGATCTAAAATCTAGGATTAGATTAATATTCTATCTAAGATTTAGAAATCAAACTAAAATGTAACCCTTTTTTATAATGTGTCATATCTTCGAAATTAACGATTTAATGATTAAGATATAACAATCAATTACATAATTGATAAAAATATAATAAATCGTTAATATAAGTGATTAATATATATATTTTTTTTAAATTTTAATAGATTTGTTTGTGTAAGTATAAGAAGAAAGTGATCAATTTTACAATTAATCCTTCGTTTTCCTATTATTTGATTTCATGCATGAAATCAGAAATAATTACGATAGCATTGGAGAAATGAATAATGACCACACATTGCTCTTATAAATCAGATTGCGAGTTCTGAATTCTACACACAGAAAGAAAACACGAGGAAATGGGGATACCGCATGTTTTGGCTATTCCATTTCCAGCACAAGGCCATGTCATTCCTCTCATGAATCTCTCCCAAAACTTAGCCAAACAAGCCCTCAAAATCACTTTTGTCAACACAGAGTTTAATCACAAGAGAGTCATCGATGCATTCGGCGAGAATGTTGCCGGAAACAGCTTCCTTCAGCTAGTTTCTATTCCCGATGGATTGGAAGATGGGGAAGACAGGAACCAGCTAGGGAAGTTAACTGAACGAATAAACCAGGTTATGCCTGGACACCTGAAGGAGTTGATTCATAAGATTAATGCATTGAATGAAGATAAGATTACTTGTGTTTTAGCTGATTTAAGCATCGGGTTTGTAGTCGATGTTGCGGTGGAGTTGGAGATTCCGACGGCTGGATTTTGGCCGGCTTCGATGTTTCAACTAGTGATGCTTCTTAGTATCCCAAAGCATATTGAGGATGGATGGATTGATGAAAATGGTAAGACCCTATCTTTATTTTAACTGGTTTGTAGTATTTTTTCTCTCTCGGTTTTAGATGCTGATGATCTGATTGAATTTCGGAATAATCGAGAGTTGTATGACTCAATATTTTATTTTATAGGTAAATTTATGAAATTTTAATGGGTGAACTTATAAAATATTATGAGTTAAATATATTATTAATAAAAAGATAAAAAAAATCTAAATTATATGAGAATTTGATATTTTCAGAGATTATAGTTCCGGTAGTCCTCTCGATTCATTCTTGACACTGTGATTCATTATTTGAATGTGTTTTGCAGGCACTCCACTTATAAAAGATAAGGTGTTCCAGTTGTCACCTATGACGCCTGCTATACACCCAACCAACTTTGTATGGTGTAACATTGAAAGCTCTCCTTCAACACAGAAAATCATTTTCCATACTTTACGGGGGAAAAACAAAGCTGTTGAATCAGTAGATTGGGTACTCTGCAACTCAAGTTTGGAATTGGAGCCTGAAGGGTTCAACTTGGTTCCCCAAATCCTACCCATCGGCCCGCTTTCAGCCGTCGATCGGCTCGGGAACTTGTCAGGGAATTTCTGGCCTGAGGATCCAACTTGTTTACAATGGCTCGATCAACAACCACCTGCTTCAGTCATATATGTTGCATTCGGTAGTTTCACAGTTTTGACGAAATCCAGTTCCAAGAGTTGGCTTTGGGGCTTGAACTGGCCAACAGGCCATTTCTTTGGACCGTCCGAGAAGATATTACAAAGGGGAAACACCATGTTTACCCACAGGGGTTTATCGAAAGAGTGGGAAATCGAGGTAAGATGGTGAGTTGGGCACCACAAGGAGCAGTATTGGAACATTCATCGATTGCTTGCTTTATAAGTCACTGCGGGTGGAATTCCACCATTGAAGGTGTAAGCAATGGGGTTCCCTTCTTGTGCTGGCCTTACTTTGCAGACCAGTTCCTGAACGAGAGCTACATTTGCGATATCTGGAAGGTCGGACTGAAATTCGAAAGGGATGAAAGAGATATAATCGGAAAAGAAGAGATTAAAAGCAAGGTGGAACAATTGATTGGCGATGATAATATCAGAACAAGAATTGTTGAACTGAAGCAAAGGGTTGCCAAAAGTGTCGCTGAAAGTGGAAGTTCTGATCAGGTATTCAATGATTTTGTTCAGTGGTTGAAATCATAGATAGCAACAAATGTTTCAGACATTGAGAAATCGAAACAAGTGAAGAAAACGATCATGGTTGACAATTTCACTTTCATCAGACACTCGTATTTTAAATTGTTAATTAAATGTAATTTCACTCATTAAAGATTTTATTTAATCATCATTTCATTTATATCATTATTTAAATTCCTGATTTCAACGATTAACCAGTCACACTGGTTTAAAAATAGTTTGAGTTGATTATTTTTTTTGGGTATCCTAAGGTGTCCCCAGGCTTCGTCTGAGACTAATCTTTTGAGATACTGTCGGGCACGAAAGGTGGGGACCTCTCCCAAAAAGATTTTCCACATCTACAAGGGCTCGAACTTGAGACTACTTGCTTAAGTGACCAGAGCCCCTTCCACTCAAGCCAACCTTCGTTGGTTAGTTTGAGATGATTATAAATTAATATATGTTCAAAGTTTTTTTTTAGTCATTAACAATATACAAACACTTTACAGACATAACTGTTTAAATTCAAAATCTTTTAAAAAATAATATTTTCTTTTACTATTTGAGATCATTTGATGTGTTCGTTATTAGCTAAAATTTAATGATAAAAGTCAACACAAAATCACACGGGAATAACAGAGGTGAAGGAATAAACGACAAATCATAACAGACATGATTTTCACCGTCCAGTCTCTTCTTAGCAGCTCGTCGATCTTTCTTACCAGCGTGAAAGACTGTCCCCGGCTTTGTTGGGTTTTTAGCAGTTGTGTCACTTCTAAATTGTCCACCTCCAGGATGACATTCTTTTCTCCTAAAATCCATGATTGTTGCAGCCCTATTAAGACCCCCACAATTCTGCCTCAATTACAGTGCATATTCCGATATGTTTAGCAAACCCGATCGCCTACTCTCTTTAATTTCTACTAATAGCTCCCCCGCATACTGCTGCACCATCTTCGTTTGTCCTTGCGCCATCTGTGTTTATCTTGACCCAACCTTGGGGGTGGAGGCACCCACTTCGTTGGAATTTGTCTGACGGAACCTTCTTCTTCGTGTGTGTTACTGTTGGATCATAAATTTGATCTATTATGGAAGCCTAAACTTAAATCCAAACTAAATTGATGTCATTACTTACATCATTTAATTAAAGATGTCATTGCTTACATCATTTAAGTAATGATGTCATTGCTTATATCAATTTAGTTAGGTGGGAGTTAGATATTTGTTGAATTTGTAATGGTTTAAATTAATTTATTTGTGTGGTGTAGGATTGTTCTTGAGTAGTATAAATACCTCTTCCCATTTTTGTTTTAAATATCAAGAAAAATTAAGAGTTTCTAAGTGAGTGAAGAAACAAAGTCTTATAAGAGTGAGTTGTAGTTTTTATTTTTGAGTGAGAGTGCTCTTGTAATATTTGTTTGAATTTCAATAAAAGTTGTTTGTGTGAGTATTTTATTTTCAACAGTTACTGCGATCATATCATTATGCAGTCTTCGGCTATGCTCCAGCACCGATTCTTTCCGCTCTGCATTCGGGTTGAAAATGCGATTGTTTCGGTTTAGCCAAATAGACCAAAGAATTGCTCCGAATGATAGGTCCCATGCTTCAGGCTCCTTAGTGAAACTCTCTGGTTTTTCAAGATTTATCTTTATCCTCCCCTTGGTTCCAATTGCCATGAATTCTGCAATCTTATCTGTTTTCACTTGTTCTATCCATATCAATAAGGCTATTGGACATTCCCTGAATAGATGCTATATCGACTCTACTCTCGCTCCACATACTCCGTAGCTTGTGTCCGTCGTTAGATGGCGGCGAGCTCTTTCGCTGTTTGTTAGAATTTTCTTGTGCGTGACTGATACAGGGGGATCCGAGACAGATGATGCTGAGCTGTCAGATTGCACGTTGATGGCGCTGAGATACCATGAGTTGGCAGATCAGCGCAAAGGCGGGAATTGATTGTGACATATTCCTCATTGGGGTCGTTTTGAGTATATTTCAGTCTTTTGGCCATAACTTTGGCTACAGGTGTCATAATCGCGCATAAGACCCCAATCCGGAAAGTTCTTTTCGACGCGCACGCTCTGCACATTGAGCTATGCTCCCTGTGGCCTTTTTTTCAACCTCAAATTCTGCCGTTTTCCCCTCCGAATCACTAGATTTAGTTAATTTTTACTATTTATGGTAATATTTCGATTGTTAATTAGGAAGTCAATTTAAATCCGATTTAGGCCGGATTTTTGGGAGATTGCTTATTTTATTTCGAATTTCAATTTAGAGTGATTTTCGGGATTTTGCTATTTTTGGCAAAATTCGAATAAAGACGATTTTTTTGTTATAACAGTCCGGCTTGTGGACTGCTTTTTGATAGTTTTGATTTTATAATATTTTATTAAACCCTAGAGACTTTTTCTCTGGTTTTTGGGCGAATTTTCTCTTGTGAATCGTCTGTCGGAGCTAGCCTACAGGATAATCACTATTCTGTCTGGCGTCAGTGACTAGCCATAGGAATGTTTTAATTCTTGGGATACCTTGGTATTTAGCAATAGAGCTCCATGTGCGATCTTCTCGTTCCCCGGGTTGCTCTGAAGTGGTCCATTTTTATCTTACGCAGATTTAACTGTGAATTTTCGATCCGTCCTCCATTTCCAGCCAAGTTTGTCATTAACTTGTTCTTGATGGGGAGAGATCGTGGCAGCTAGCCGTAGAATTATTCTCTGGGGTAGTAAGCCCGTTAACTCACTCCATTTCCATTGTCCCTCATCATCAACCATGGATGCTACCTTCACATGTGGTAAGCTTACCACTTTGGTTTGGTCTGTTACCAAAAAATGGAGTGCTCCAACATCCCCTAGCCAAGGATTCCACCAAAAATCTGCTGACTTTCCATCTCCTATATTCCATGTCAGTCCTTCACGTACCTCATTCCAAACCAAGCTGATCCCTATCCATAGTCTCGAACAAGAACGCCTCTCCAATGATTCTAGAATACCCTCAATCCATTTGTATTCCGTTCGGAGCACCTTTACCCATAGTTGATCTTGTTGGTGGATTAGGTTATGTCCCAGTTTTGATAGGAATGCCGCGTTTTGTATAGTCAGATTCTTGAAACCGAGTCCCCCCTTCAACGTTGGCTTGCAAGTATCTTTCCAACTAACAAGGTAAGCGTCACCTTGCTGTTCTGACTTGCCCTCAACAAACATTCTTATTATTTTCTCCAGTTCCTCGCATGTTCTTTTCGGAATCAATGTTGATTGCATGCATAGTATGGGATCGTCGCCAAAACTGTTTTTGCCAGTGTTATACGGCCAGGTAGGGAGAGGTACCTAGCAGTCCATCCGGATAGGCGATCTCTTACATTCTGCACAATATATTGATAAGACGTCTTCGTAACTCGGGAATGGAGTAGGGGTACTCCCAAGTATTTCCCTAAGTCACTGACTTCTTTGAAACCAAACTGAGAGCTGATCATTTGACGCATATCCTTATCAACATTTTTAGAGAAAAAAATAGTAGTTTTCTCAATGCTAACCTTATGTCCGGATACTTGACAGAATTCTTCTAATGTGCTCCCTAGGACCGCTGGTTGATCTAAACTGGCTTCCGCAAACAGTACCATGTCATCCGTAAAAAATAGATGCGATATTTCAGGTCCATTCTTGATTTTGTTTAAACTGTCCTAACTCTTCTTCTCGTTCTCTTCCACATCCTTCTTGTGAGTGCCCGTATATGCCACATTTAAAGCATATTTGTTGAAGCCCTTCATATTCAACTTGTTGCAGGATTCCGTCAATTTTAAAGTAGGGGATTAAGGGTTTATTTAAATCAACCAAGACTACCAGTCGTGCGAAACGACCTCTGTCCCCCGCATGAGTCTTGTAATCAATTTTAATAACTCTTCCCAGTGCTGCTGCTATATACCAGAATAGGGCTTTCGAATAGTACCTGTATGGTAATCCTGGTAGGCGAACCCAAACCATTACATGTGAGGGGTGATTTTCAGTTGTAGAAAACGATATGCTCCATGGTTGTACTGTTAGGTAGTTTCCGTATACCGTCCACGGTTCTTCTGTAAATACCTTGACATAGTCGCTTTCATTCTCAAACTTGATTATGTAGTATTCGTTCTCAAGATCCACGACTTGAAATTGGCCTTGTGATTGCCAAATCATTCGGATTCTGTTTAGGAGAGCTTTTCAACCTAGGGCGCGTCCTAAAAGACGTACCATGATAGTTCTTTTCATACTTTTGTCAATCTTAGCGCGCACCGATTCTTTGAAATTAATAGTTGGGATTGGTCCACTCAGGTCAACTATGCATTCATTTTCCTCCACTACGACCTCATCCATTGCATTGAGCGACAACAGATTCGAGCCTTGTTTTTCGAGGCCCGTACTACTCCTGCATATGATTGTTGCGCTGCCCTCTGTGTATCGTTATGACTAGGGTTTTCATCCATCATCGCAATGTCTCCTTCATCCATATTCACCTCCGCCGAGACTCCTTTACTTTTAACTTTCTTCGTTGCTCCTTCTTCCTCAGTGATTGACGGTGATCCATGCCTCTCAAGCGCTTGTAGGGGTGGTACCGACACATTTTATGTGGAGGAGGAGCTGTGGTGGTCAATTATAGAGGTATATTCGGTTCGGTTTTTTAGTAAAAATTGAACCGAATCAAAATAAACGGGTTTTTAGAATTTAAACTGAAATCGAATGGTTAAAAAACCGAATTATGTAAAACCTATTTTTTTGGTTCTGTTCGGTTTTTTAATGGTTCGGTTTTTCAATGAAAAATTCACTTGAAACTATAAAAAAAATTTAAAAAATTGTCTATTCGGTTCAATATGGAGCAAATGGATTCCATATGGAAAATCTGAACCGAACCAAATCAATAGAATTGAGACTTTAAACCAACTCAAAAATCGAACTGAACCGTTTTACTCGATTCATATCGATATTTTAATTTTCTCGATTTCGTTGCTCAACCTTAATCATTTATTTGGGGACCATCAATGGCTTGGACTCTTATACCTACCATTTGCATTACATAATTTCACACGTGATCATTTATTACGGTTTTCTTTTAATTTTTTTTCATTAAACTTTTAACGAAGATATGATAAAATTTAATCTTAAAATTTTAAAGATTATCATATTTTATTCAGCATGTTAATGTCCAACTCGTACAACAATTAATGTTTTAACGAAAAAAAGATGAGTTTAGAACATATGAATACTCAGATGATTTTGTAACTTTTAATAGTCGATTGACTCAATAAAGCAACGCCTATAGTCGAATGATCATTTTATAACTTTTAAAAGTCAGTGACTCGATAAAATTGTATCTTATAGTCGGAAGATCATTTTTGTAATTTATCCTTAATATTGTATTGAGATCATATCGTATAGCAAAGAAAGTGTAATGGATTCGCAGAAAATATCAGAAACAAAATGGAAAAATAGAATTTAGATAGATCCAATTTGGACCTTGGAAGATTAATATAACACAAATTTCTTTTATTCAACACAAGAAACCAGCTAATATAAATTGTTAACTACACGCAATGGATTTTTCCCTTGCCGGGGAAATGTTTAAGATTGTTCGGAAGGATAGAAAATCCGCCATTGAATGAGCAGATTGACAGAATATTCTTTTAAAGCAAAAGTCATGGATATCTGCAGCAACGGAACAGGAAAACCAGCTTTTATTGCTACTATTTTGTGGAGTTTTTGGTTTCATTTCTTCAGTGCATTTCTCCGGCTCCGGCTCCGGCTCTTTCACTTGCTGATGCTTTACTGATTGTGTGTTCAATTCTTGGTTGTATTGGCGGATATTTACCGAGCTCATCCTTCCACCGTCGGTGCCATTCAACCTGAAACGATTTCACTGATATATTCATGCAACTTATAAGCAAAAATGCAAGCTTTTCAAGTGGAGAAAATGGTGGTTTTTATCGTACACGGAATGCAAAGGAAAAAGTGCTCTCATCAGAAAGACCAGAGATGCTGCCGTCAATGCCACTTTTGTTGTGATCATCATCATCCTCTACAACTTCACTTGTTTCGACAACCGTCGTCGGCGTTTCTTCAGCTCCCGAACAACCTTTGCCTGCATTTTCCTCCGCAGCCGCCATCTTTTCTAGTTCTTTCAGTGAAGGCATCACGCCACCTTGGGCAATGATCTGCTCGTCTAACTTGGTTAACTCTCCGGATTTATACAACGAAAGAAATTGCTCCTTCGAGAGGCTGTTATTCCCGGTATGAATGCTGAACAATGATTCGTTTGAAGCAATGCTCCATTCCATTGGTGTTCCAGGTTGAGTACCGAAAATGGACGACGGTATCCGAGTCCGTACGCTCCCTGCCGGTGCTTGTTCTGCATGCTTGTCATCATCCGAGGACTGCTCATTCGAACTAGTCGGCGGAACATTTAAAGGCCTCAATGACTCGATGAGTTCGGAATTTTCAAGGTTTCGGTTCCGAGGAGAAGATGATGATGAAAAGCCTTCATGCCTTGAAAGAGGTTTAACTTCAACTCTACTATCAGTTCCCATTTCCTGTATTACAAAACGAAAACAACATGCAAAAACATCACATAATTATGACAGGAACACGCATTTTTCTATATCAAACGTAAATAAACTCACTTAAAACTCAATGATGGAAGATTTATGATGATAAAATAATGAAGCTGCGAAAGAATACAGATGAAAACTATCAATGAAACATTTGTATCAGAATTAGTGGGGATATTATAAAGCTAAAAATGGAAGGCAAAAGAGAATATTTCGAGTTAGGTTCTTCATCTTCGGTTCTTAAAGATACTTTGGAGAGTTGTTAGTCCATCTTCTTCAACAAATTACAAAACAATATTTATTAACTATTAACAACATTTGGTTCAATGAGAATATTGAACCAGAATGATCTAGGTTGATAGCGGTTGTTTTCGTGAGAATATTGAGATTTTAGATTGAGGTGTCATAAATCATATTCAAGTCTCTATATTTCAATTACTATAATGATTGATTCTTGTTATAATTATTTTATTAGATATATTTTCTTGTGGATGTATTTGTATCTTTTTAAAAGAAGACTATGATAGAGAAAAATAATGCATTACAAAAAAAAAAAGATTACATCCCATATATAGCATTCATTTTGCTTGTGATCTATTTTGACATGAATAACACCATTTCAGACAAATTCATCAGGTTCAAGAATCTATCTGGTTTTAAAGCTTTCAGAACAGCAACCATGAGTTCTTCAGTTCTGAGAAAGACCAACATCTTGAGCACGCAATTCATGAATCTGCAACATCGAATAACACAGTTAATAACTTGAAGAAGAAGAAAAATACTACTTATGTCAGATAAACTTTACCGATCAAAATTCTAAACATGTAGATATAGATTATTGAATTCGCAAGCAATAACTCTCTGGCGTATGAATTGGATGGAAAGGGTCGCTCAAGAACAGATTATCATTACCTTGGTTTGATTTATACTAGGTGGTAATAGTGAACCTCCAGCTTTCCTGTTTCTTGCAAGAATTCCTTTTGTAACAGGCGACATAATGGAATCAGTCGGACTTCTGTACCTGAAAGAAACCAGTAAAAGATACAAAGAATTCACTGAGAGAAATTCATGAGACAGATAATGATTTTAAACCAAGATAACATATTTAGTTACGTACCTTTCAGGATACTTGAAGGCTTTGGAGACTTTGAGCCTATCTGGGGTGCATGTTTTCCGCAGATCTTTGCTTGAATCTTGAGGACTCTCATCGAGTTTCTGGTCCTGGAGTGGTGGGGTATTCTCTAATCTACTATTTTCAGTCTGAGTCGAACTGTTAAAAGGCTTTTGCATCGCTTGCTCCGCCATTGAAACGAGATCAATAATAAGGTTTTATAACAAAGTGGGGTTGAAGAAATTGAATATTGATTGAAATGAAAGCTTTGAATTAAACTGTGAATTTATATGCATAAATAAAATGGAAAGTCGGGAGGGATTGTAACGGTCTAATTTTGAGGGACCCTACTAGCCGTTGAGATTTAAAATAATATTGCCGCTATTTTGGTAATATCTTTTTTTCCTGTTATGGTGGTGAGTGGTGATTTCCATAATCTTTAATTCTAGATTTAACGATCATATTTTAATTTTAAATTATATTATCTAAATTCTAAATATAAATAAAATAAAAAGTAAATTACAAATTTTATCACGTAATTTTTTTCTTACTTTTGTTTTAGTTTAAAATTTAAAAACTTTGTTTTACTCATTAAACTTTTTCGATTTGTTTTTATTTTGATCATGTGATATTAAATAATGACTGAATATTTTTCTCTTGAAATTTATGAAATGACCCTATAACCTTTTTATTTTTAAAAAAAAAAATCTTAGTTTTGAATTTCTTTTAATTTCTCAATGATGTTTCATTTCTTTCAAATCTAACAGTAGAGTAAGTTGTGTATCTTGATTCTACACTGAGCGGATGATGGATATTATAAATTGGAGTCACTTAAGATTTCTTGAGTTTTTGGTTTATGGTTGAATTTTACGAGTTGTAAAGTAATTTAGATAAAATTTAAATCGATTGATAGAAAAATAATGAAAAGAGTTCAATGATATCTTGAGTAATCGGAGATGAAGTCAGAAAATGATAATTACAACGTCAGAATGACACATAAATGAAATTATAAAACTTTTATATTTGAAAGAAGATAAAAAAAAAAGTAACATTGATAGCACAGATTTCATATTAATTAAAAATAATCCACATTAACACACATGATTTTCATTCACCCTTTCATTCATGATTTAACACTCAAATGATTAACATAGAAGCAAATACAAAATTTAATGAATAAACATTTTGATAACCAAATTACGAGTGAGAAAAAATTAAGTGATGAAATTTATAATTTATCCTAAAATAAAATAAACACTGCACAATGTTATTTTCAATAATATTCAGCCTTGTTATATCAACCAATCATTAATAAAAAAAAGTAATATATTAATAGTTGAATCTATTTAAAATGAATCCATAACACAAGTCAAGCAATTGTAGTGATAAAAGAATTGTTATTATTCTTTGAAATCTTAAATTCGAACATAAAAAATGCTAAAGATGTGAATGTTCATTGTTAAATGATTGAACGTTATATTTGAACAGTATCCTTGTACTTACCCCATATTATAAAAAATAATGGATCCGCACAGATGGTGCAAATAAGGGGTGCTACGAAAAATGCGAACCAATTGATCACTTGGCTTTGAAGGAGCTTTCATTTAAAAAGAGGTTGAATAGCTCATCTCTCAACAGATTCTCCCATTTCACCAAGACACTAAAGGAACAAACACACTACATTAATGGCAAATTACAACGAATATACAACACAAATTTTATCAGATTTTCAACTTCTAAATGCCAGAACACAATCTCAATGCCATAGTTTGGAGTTACTTCACTTCGTTTAAACTCAATAAGTACTTGCCGAATATCGATAATGAAGGAATCAAAACAAAACATGTGCTTGGTACCCACTTGATAGAAGCCATCAGACTGAGGACTCACAGAGCCCAGAATGGTTTTCGAACTCCATTTGCATTGGAGCTATTATTTGGGGATTCTTCACTGCTTTCCTCAGAATCATCATCTTCATCCCCATATGTCATTAACTGCATCAAGGTGTCTGAAACAACCAAACAATTTTGGAATGTATTATAAATTGCACAATTCAAGAAATCATTTACTAGATATTAGTAAACATCACAGAACTATTCATTACAGGAAAGCAAATTTAGAACGATAAGTATTTAAAATAGCCAGTTTAGGAATCAACCCTACCAGGGACAGCATCAAGTTTAGCTCTACTGTTATCTTTGTTCTTGTCATGCAATTTCCCATGTGGTTTCAATGATGTAAAATTGGGTGGTGGCGCCGGAGGCATCATGGTTTTTGGAGGAGGCGGAGGCATTCCATTAGCTGATGGATTAATCAGCTTCTTTGGAGCAGGCATAGTTGATACATTTCTCACTCCCAAGTCTCCCAATGGCTTGTTTGGATTTGAAGATTCAGATACCTGAAATGAGTTGCACAAAAACAATCCAAGCCTAATTTCTCAAAAGTAGTGACATAATAGTTAATGAGCAACATCTGGAAAAAGCAGGAGGTTAAGATCTCAAGGGTACAACAGAATCTTTACAAAGGTCCTGTATCGGGGAAAATGACATGGAATTAGTGAAAGACCATGATTTAGTTAGTTAATTTGACCCTTGATGTCTTCACTGAACAGATGTTAGGACCTTATACGCTGACATTGAGCCTGGAAATTTTCAAATCAAGAACTAAGGTAGTTTGTGGAAAGATGCAAAAATAAAAAAAAATGCAGATGTCATGTACAGTATCATCGTCGCCAAAAAATGGTCGCAGTGGCACAAAGTTTGTTGTCAGCTTATGTACCTGTTAAAATGCATTTCATGCATTTTCAATAGGAGCTTCAGCTTTAAAGTAAAATCCTAAACAAAAATGCTAAACCACAATGATACCAAAGACCCTTTCAATGAAACTTCAGCTTGCACATTCTATAACGCTAACCATGGAAGACACAACAACATCTAAATGCAAACTGCATGATATGAAACAATACACCCAATCAAAGAGAACAAATATCTTGAAGTGGTCCCCCGTCATGGTTTTAAAGCAGGAAACACTCATCAAATTTCTCCTCTGAAACTGAAAACCCTGTGAAACATACAAACCAATGGCCCTAACAGAGGTCCGGTATCAGCCTATTAGCTTCTTAGAATGTCATAGAAAATACCTGGAACGATAAGCAGAGACAGTCAGCAGGAAATATAATTGTAAATCCAATAGCATAAATGCAAAGAAACTACATTTAATCACATTAACTTGCAAAAGTCTTCCCTCTCTACAATTTTTATTCCCATATTTAAGGGGTGAAACTGGAACTGAAGCAGGTGAATGCATAAACATAAGGGGACAAGTACCAGCATGAATCAGCAAAATATTGCAATCATGATATCAAGTATGGCCACATATGAAGACAAACCTGATTGACTTAGGAACTACCCATGCAAAGGTCACTTGGGATTGAAATAATTAGAAAAGATAAGTTCAAGAAGTAGCAAGATGGAAGCATTGCCCTTTACATTACCCACCATATGAACTATAGCAGTAGTCAAGATTCAATTTCAACAACATGGAATTATGGACTATAAACATGGCCATTGAAACTCAATTACTTGGAAATGCCTCCCACTCACAAATATACTTCTACTCTAAATAGAAAGCTTCCACCCATGGGCTAATAAAAGTATAATACTTTAAACGAATAATGAATTATGAAGTTAATAAAGGTGTCATCCATTTCTCATAGTCAACACTCTCTTTCAAGAAATTGTAGTCAACATTAAATAAAAGCCATTTTCTTAGTAGAGAAGCCCAAATTCCAGAGCCCTACTCCCTGCCCAAAACAAAAATTCAGTACAAGAACTGCAAGCGGTAATGCTCTTTGGCCAAGGATTTCTAAATGAATATAGTACTTATGCTAGACTGCCATGAACCATAACTTGTACACTATTTGAACCAAGAAGTCAGAATGGAGTAAGACTTTATATTTAGCCATTATGGCACTCAAATAATATAAATTTGTATACCTCATAGCTTTGCTTGAAGGGAAACTAACAGAAAATGTACCGGTACCTGGTTGATTCTTGAAGAGCCCTTTGAACCAGCCGGTAACTCCTGGAACTTCCGCTTTTGTGGGGGCCGTTGCTCTTTCTCTAAAGGTAAAGTAGAACTAACACTTGATTTGGTTACCGTACTGACAAATGACATTGTAGGAACAGCCGTGCTTGCTACAGATGTTGCAGGTACAACAGTAGATGAGATTGGAGATGATTGTCTAAGAGCTAATGCTACCTGTTGCAATGGTGTTGCTTGGGGGTATATCCCACCATATCCAATGTAGCTTGTCCCTCTAGTCACCGAAGGCTGTGGATAACCAATTGAATTTGATTGGGTTGGCCCAGAATTAGGCAGCCCTACAGCAATCCCTTGAGAATAACCAGTAGTGACCCCAGGGACTGAAACAGGTGGAGCTGGAGCAGCAACTGGAATTGACATCAAACCAGCAGCTGAACTAGCATTTAGGTTTTGTTCGCCTGCAGAACTTTGAACTCCAGTCAACAACTGCTGTGGAGGTGGAACTGCACCATAAACCTTACTTGATGAAATCCTAAAATGGATGGAAAGAAACAGCTTACTCCAATCCAAAATGACAACAACAAGACTATCAAATTACTATCACCACCCCTCAGCAAAACAGAAACCTGATTACCTGGATGCACCAAACTCTAGGCTGATAGTGTCCATGAGATTCTCTGCCAAACGCTTGGCATCATCAAGACTTTTAGGATTGTTACTGGACAAGAATAAGTGCACTGGTTGCTGTGCTTCTGCAACCACAAGAAGACCAGATAAAACTATTAGGAAAATAAAATCATAGAGTAACAGTTTAAATCCTTAGGTTTGCCTATAATTATAAAGAAATAAGAAAAGAAAAGGGAGCTGTCTTTTACACAGCATAAATTACCTTCACCCTTCAGGATCTCAGAGTTTCCAGAACCACATCCTCGTAACGTGACAGTTGCTCCTGTTTCCTTCATAATGTGATTTATATACTGGTCCTGCAAGTACAAAACCGAACCACCAGCGACACAAAAGCATGCTCCCCCAATTGCATGGAGATGTCAGAGAGAGCTTCAAACATTAGAATCTCTCATCTTTAACGAATGAAATTAAAATTTTAAACAAACTGATTAAACAGAATACTCAAACAAGTAAATCAGTACAAGACACAAATAACAGATGTGTGCATATTAATAAGAGGATTTGCAGTGAAAGGTTTGTTTAGGGAAGGTGAATTAGTCCACATCCTTAACATCAGAAAGCTGATTTTCATTTAACTATACAAAGATTGTATCACCATCTAATTATACAATCTAGTCGTAGAATAGAAGAGCAACTACAGTTCACAGACAGTTATAAGATTATATAGAAAAAAAATGACCATTAATTAGGCATAACAAAACATCAAGATAACATATGACAGCAGCGTATAACCCCTTATTAGTGAAAGTGAAAAACTGAAGTAGATGAAAATCTCACATTTGGTCCACAAATACGTGCAGCAACATTCAGTGATGGGTCTGCATCAAAGCCCAAATATACACACATGCTCAATGCCTAAGAAACCAGGTTTCATTAGAGATTTACCCTGTAACCGATTATCTAAATATCATAGCTGAAAAATTCGGATTGCAGTTGAAGCATACCTTCACACCGTTCATCACAGCTTCCTTAAAAGGGGAAGCCCCTGCCTGTGAGCTCTGACCATGTTTCAACAGTTCTTCAACCATGGTAGCCGCGCTATCTACAGCTAAAATTCGCTCCGCTGTTTCTTTTAACTGCAGTGACAATTAAACAAGTTTTGTAAATCTCTTTTCCTTAAATAGACCAACTATTTAGCTTTCTAATGTTAATTTTTATGTCAACCACAAGCTGACAATAGATGAAAGCATATATGCAAAAAACTTTCATGAAGACAAAGAAATTTCAAAAATTTCACTATATGACCAACAAAAGGTTTGGAAAGATGAAGAGAATACACTTACATGAGTGGCAGCAGATATATGAAGATAGAGAGGCTTTTCACCATCAGGTGGAGCATTTGGTGGGTGATACTTACCCCTGCACACCAATCATGTCAAGGAATAAAAGGAAAACATGAAAATAGTTGTTCAAAAGATTCTGCACATCTGCTTAATGAAACTTACCGAGTTATGACCACAGCACCAGTGCACCTTTGAATCTGAAAGATGACAAACTTCCTCGTCAAAATTTAACAAAAGAACTCTCCCCTATTTTAACAACAAAAAACCCTATTTTCTATATTGCTGAGCAAAGCAAAAGACGTTCACCTCTTCCTGTGTCTGGCGCTTTGTGAGCTTGTACCGAACTGAAGATTCCACATCATTTATTACAATTTCTCTAGCAATCACTAATTCATCCTGGATCTTAGTCTATAAAATTGTATAAACAAAATGAAAAATTAAATAATACAATTAAAAAACTGAAAATATACAAGTAAAAAACAGTTCAGCATGTTTATGTACAGACAAATCATTAAAAAGACAAAAATACAAATTCCCTGGCATATGAGACTTCCTGGGATAGCCTAAGACTACACTTTGATTGAATGACCAGATCAAAATTGCAAATATGTAACCACCCAGGCAGAAATATCCATAAAAATACACTAGCAGAAAATAAGAAGAAAGGGAAGAAACAATCAAAACATATCCCGCTACATATATTTAGTCCATAAGCTTAGATACTAAATCCAAAAAGTAGAGCTCTTTTAGTTAAGAAACCATGTATGCTCTCACAAGTCAGGTATATTGACTACCCAAACTTATCAATGTACAAAATATCATTTTAAGTACTAATGTTGTCAGTGACAATGCATTCAAATAGCCAAGAAACTGATGCCTAAAGAAATATATTTGCAAATGACATTTTATAAGACAGAACAAACTATTGCCATAATCATCCTCAAGCCTCATGAACATGTCAGGTGACTATGAATTTTCTTTGAGTAGAGCCAGAATCTATTTTCCATACTTGATTTTGTTGTGGTACCACTGGAGCAGCATGCTGTTGAAAAAATGGGGTAACAGCTGTACCACTTGAAGCAAGTATATTTGGCAGAAAGGTGCCTGGGACTGGAGCTACACCAGGAGGTGGCATGCCAGCAAGAGTTCCCATGTTGGTAAATGGGACAGCAAATCCAGCCGAAACAAAACCCTCCGCAGGCTGATCCCACTTTCTCTTTTTCCTACATAATAACCCAACTATTAAATTTTGTAACTGCAAGGCATGGCTTATTCTGCTACATAAAAATCAAACAACTACATAAAGAAATCCCATAATTTGTTGGGTAACAAGTATTTAAGAGAGTTGTGCAAACTGAAAGTTAAAATCTAATGATAAATATTTTCAGAATCAAAATCCTTCCTCCGAAATGTAATTGCATATGAACCATGTATGCGACTCACTGTCTGTTACAGTCGGGTCATCGTATGAAATTGAGTGCATGGTGAAATTAGAGTTTAAGAATTTAAATTTAAGAGAAAACAAAAAATAAATTATATACCTTTGTCTTGTTTGTGAAGCACCGTTGCTTACAGTCGGATCATCGGAAGAAGCCCTAGCGCCACCGTCTTCAATCATCTCTTTCCTAAGTTTTCAAAATTTCAATAAAAGAGAAGGGAATCGGTGTTGTTATCTTCCAAATTTCTAATTATATCGAACTTTTTTATTGTGTTTAGGGATTTGATTTCAATTGGGGCATCAGATTGGGGTTTGCGCCTTTTCTTTCAGATGCGGAGAATGGAGCTTTCGCGCAATATCGAAACTGATGGGGGCAGGTGAGAGCTGATATTAATGGACCGTTAATGTCACGTGTAATATCTTATCTATGTTTATATTCATATTTATACGGGATGGATAAGGAATACAATATAGACATTGAAAATGTTACTATTTTTTTAATATTTTTTTAAAATTCTATTTAAAATGTTATTTTTTATTAAAAATATTAATATCGGAAGTTATTTAATTTTTTTTATAATACTGAAACTGATGTGGGCAGGTGAAAGCTGATATTAATGAGCGTTAATGTCGCGTAATATATTATTTATGTTTATATTCATATTTATATATGTATGTCTAAGGGAAGACAGTTTATTATAAGGTTAAAAAAGACGTTATCGGAAATATTAATATTTTTTTAATATTTTCGGTATAACACTTCCTAAAATGTTATTTTTACTTAAATATCGGGCATTATCTAAAATGAATATTTTTGATATTAACATTTTCGGTAGAAAAAATAACATTTTAAGTAGTGTTCTATCAGAAATGTTAAAAAAATATTAACATTTCAAGTAGTGTCTTTCCTTAACCTTATATTAGGTTGCTGTATAGCAGAACTACCCTATTTATACTACTAGAATTTATCGGTCAAATTTAATTTTATACCATCACTAAATTTAAAATTACTCAATTAATAATTCAGTTATGAACAAATTATTTTTTAAAAAGTTATAATTTAATTATTTAATTAAAATATTATTATAAATAAATTATTTTAAAAAATTATAATTTAATCAATTAATTAAAATATCATTATAAATAGATTATTTTATCAGTAATAATTAATTAATTAATTAAAAAAGTTATAATTAATAATTACTTTAATTAAAAATCAATCAAATAAAAGTAAATAGATTGAACAAAGATTTAAATAGCGTATGTTATTGTAATATCGTCCGTTATATTCAACATATATTTTAGATGTTCTTTTTATAGCATGAATCATGCGATCTCTACGATAAAAGAATTGTTATTATTTATTGATATATCGAGTTTGGACACCATGAATATTAGAAGTGTAAACATTCAATATCAAATCAAAATAAAAGAGAGTTAGTCGTGGTTGAAGATCCAGATATGGAGTTAAAGATTCAAAGCTCATCAATAGCTCCTCAAAAACTCAATTCGAAGGAATCCGAAGTCTTGACACGAAATTACTGTTCGATGAACAAGCTTGGGGAGGGAGGATTTGGCACTGTTTATACAAGGAACCTTGGGCAACAAGACAGCGGTTGTGAAAAGAATTTCAAACGCCACGATAAATAAGCTTTCAGGGTGCATTTGGTTCGTTGAATTCTACATTATCAAGGAGAATTTTTTTTTCGGGAATTGTATTCTGACGTTTGGTTCGCAGAATCTTACATTACCAGGAATACTCTTTTTCCAATAATAGTATTTTTTTAAAATGGTGAGAATGTCATTACCTCAAAATTCTTAGGTAATCTTACATTCTCACCACTTTGGACAAGAATACCCTTGGACTAATGAATTCTTTTTATAATAATCCTTCTAAATTCTTAATTTTTTATACTTTACTCAAAATTATAAAAATAATAATAATATACAAAGAGTTTGATTTACTAAAATATTAATAATTTTGAGAATTTAAAATATTTTATATTTTTAATATTCAATATTTTACTATTTATAATTTTATGGGATGGAAAAAAGTGTTATTGTAAAAATATAATTATTTAAAATAATAATTTACTACCATAATATTATTATTTTTTATATTATATTATATATAAATAAATATGTAATTATAAACATTATTTAAAAATAGAAATTTAATATACTAATTATATTAATTATATATTAAATATAATTTATCCTCAAAAGTTAGATAATATAACGATTAAAATATTTTTATGAATTTTCATTCAAATATTTATAAATTAATATTAAAGTTTAACTTTATAAAATATATCACAAGGATAGGTAAAATATGCATCCAAGTAATCTTATATTCCTCCAACCAAATACTGTAATCTTACATTCCAGCTAAACAAAAAAAAATATATAATACAATATTCCCATAGTAATATTACATTCCAATAATATTATTCCCAAAGGTAATCTTACATTCCGTGAACCAATCTTACATTCTCATAGTAATCTCACATTGAAGTGACTGCATCATAAGAACCTGCTGAAATTGCTTGGATGGTGCTATGAGAGAAATGAACTTTTTGTTTACTATTCGTTATCGATTCTCGAATAACGAAGAGATTGTTGCAGATATGGAGAAGACAAAGAATGTACTGATGCTTGGCCTGGTTTGTTGCCACCCAAATCCATATCAAAGGCCATGTATAAAGAACTTGTTTCAGGTTCTAACAGGAGAGGTTCAACCTCCACAAATTTAGTTGGAGATCACATTCATAGCAGATGAAAGAGGCTAATGCTAATATGTTACGAATATGGTACTATGATTCTCATGCCTGTTATAAATAAGTATTTATAACTCCATTCTAATTTTAATCATGATATTTAATTTAGATCAAATATAATAAAATTGTATTGTATGAGTATTTTTTTTATTATAAAAAGTTTTTTCTATAATTTTAAAAAAAACTTTTTACACCGATATCAATGGTTAATTACGGTCAAACTGCAATAACATGAAATAAACAATAATTAGTTAAATTAAATGATGCAAATCTAAAGAAAAAAAGCCACTCCACGCCACTTTTCTCCGCCATACAAACTACCTCCATTCCCTCGCTCTTCCCTTTTCTTGTTTTCCCTGCAAATGCTGATCTCCAAAACTAAAATCCCATTGTAATTTCCTCTTCCATCAATCTTAACAAATACAATGGCTTAGAATTCCAACCTCTCTTTTTCAGCTCAATACATATCAGGTTTACACTTTCCTTTTCACATGTTCTCATTTGTTCTACATGATCTAATTACTTATTTTGATAAACTATTAATTCATATCGAATAACACTCTTTATAATTTAAATTTTTTTCTTTATAATTTATTTTTTTCTCATCAAGTAATTATGATTATTGATTAAGGGGTTGTTTGTTTGCTTTTTAATGGAACAATTCAGCGCTGCATGTTGAACCGTTCAGCATTCAGCGTGTTTGTTTTGCACCTCTGAATGATTCAGTGTTGACTGATTCAGCAAAACAATGATGAATGATTCAACACAGAAGTACATTCTGAATGATTCAGCATCATTATCAAACAGCATGTCACATTCAGAGCTAATTCATACAGAGCCTCTGAATCATTCAGCATTTGAATCATTCAACGCTTAATAATTCTGAAGTAAACAAACAACCCCTAAGTCTTATAACTGAAAAAAAGTGTAGTCAATTTCTATCTCTTAGGGGGGCATTTGGTTCAGGGTATCTCACATTACCGGGAGAATGGAATGTTATTCCTCCATTTGGTTGTTCCCAGCCCCCGGTAATAAGTTATTCCCAACATTGATATTTTGGGGGTATATTACCGAGAATATGATTACCCCTTCCTTTAGGTATTATTATATTTCCGGCGTTTTGGACTAAAATGCCCTTAAAAAAATAAAAAAATATCCTTCTTCTGTCGTTGAATAAAAAAAATTCTACGAAGGTTAAATTACAAATTTATCCTCAAACTATTTTAAATTTACAAAACAATCATAATTAGAATTTTATATGAAGTTCAAGGGTTAAAATAAAATTTTACCCTTTCATTAAAAATATTTATCTTTTCAATTTTGAAAAAAAAATTATATAAATTTTATGAATTTAAAAATTTTAAAGAAAATATATAAATTAATTATAGTAGAATTCAAATTGTTAAAAAACAAATATATAATAAGGAAAATTTGGTAAATCCAATAATCTTTTATTCCTTTAACCAAACACTGTAATATTACATTCCTGCTAAACGAACCAAACACAAAATAAAACATTCCCAGTAATCTTATTCCCGCTAGTAATCTTATATTCCGTGAACCAAACGCACCCTTAAGGTTTCCACATAAATTTATTATATAAATTCTTTCTTATATAATTCATTGACTTCCGTATATAAATGCATGACATGGTTCACTATATCTGTTTATCTCATCTTTTTTAAATTTTTTTGGTTCTAGAAATTGTTATTTGCTCTGATACAAAAAAAAAAGGAAAAAATTGTTATTTGTCCATGTTGATTTTGAGATCTTCAATGATTTATTTATGAAACAATTATCAAGGCAAATATACCTATACATATACATATATATTTGATTATGTAACTAAGAAGGTGACTTACTTTTTATGATAGAAATTTGTTTGCTAGTTAATTATTTTTGGTTTTGTTCAGCTCTTAAAGTTTTTTATTTTCTCTTGACAGAGAAAAAAATGGATGTTTTGTTATTGCCAAGTTCAGCCTTTGGGATGCTTTTTCCCCGGTTCCCTGTTGTTTCTTTAGGCAGATCACGTGGACAGTGTCGTTTAGTCTTGGGAAGCTCTTCTAACATGAAAAGGTTCTTTATTTTTTGTTCAAGCTCCATACTTTTTTGGGTTAACTTATTATCAAATCATTGATGGAAGATGGTGTTGTTGCAGGAAGAATTTACTGGCCGGCAACTGACAGTGCGGACCAAGAATAATTGCTCCCTCCAATAAGGTGTGTTTACTGATGCATATTGAATTATGGTCTTTAGTTTTGCGCTAAGAAGTTGGGGTTGGATCCTGATTTTTTTTTTAATTTCTCTGGCAAGGTAATTCCAATGACACTTTCACAGATGATGATGATGGTTTTACTTCAAGGAGAAATAAAAAATCGGGGAAGAAGAAAGACGAGTTAGTCGAGATGAGACGAGCTCTTTCTGAGGCTAAGGCAAGACAATAAGCTCTTGAAGACGAAAATGATCAATTGCTTGAAGATTTTGCTTCTTCTGAGGCTAGTCAAGAAGAAAACATGGCTTCTATTTTGAATGACAAGGAATTGGTTGTTTCCGAACTCGAGTTGGCCAAATCGCAACTCCATAAGAAGCTGCATGAATCAGTGGAAGAGAAATCTTCCTTGGAA